TCGCGATTAGTGTATATCAAAATGGATTTATTTACACAAGTAACATGATGCCACAGAGAACACAGCAAAGTACCACAGCAAACCAAAGGGCGGGGCCATCTGGTGACAGAGGAGACCATTCATTGGTAGATTTATACAGCTCTAAAGTCAGTGAAGGGGTCAATCTCCGGGAAGGAATGAGAGAAACAGTTTTCTCCGATACAGAGCATGGGCTACCGGGGAACGGAGGAGAGATGGGGATGAGGAACTGTCATGATCCAGATCACGAGGAGGAAGACATTGCTTCTGCCCTGTCTCACACCCGGATGCCCTGCACATATGAACACCCAACCCAGCGTGCTGACACGGGACAGTCTTTCAAACTGCAAGGGAAGGGACTAACTGGGGAGTGTTTGGAGTTTTCCTGAAGCACAGTGTGGTTTGTCTTTCAAAAATGCTACCCTGAAGCCACAGGCTGGTTCAACATTCAAGTTATCCAGAGTGCAGACACACACGATACTTTCCACACACTATATAGGGGCAAAGCGGATTTTCCGTTAATAGAATAATATTCGTAGCAAAATATATGACTCTGTACTTCTGCTATGTTAAAAAAAGTCTGACCTCTTTTGATTCCCTGAAACGCTCTTGATGTAAGAAAAATATGCATGTGAAGTGGGAAGGGGAGAAAGGGATGGAGGAGTAAAAAGAGGAGGTTCTTTGGAGTGGGAGACCAGGGAAAGGATGTCCAGAGAGTGGGCCCCTGCCCCCACTCAGGTGGAGAAGCTTCCAGAAGTGGCTGATGCAAAAACCTACTCTAACTTCAAATAGCTGAAGAGGGTGTGTAACAGCTGGATAGCACCTGGCACTTTCTGGGCACTTAATGATGGTGACGGGAAGTGGTAAATAAATGCCTTGGTAGGAAGGTTTATAAAAAATGATTACAATTTGTTAAATTTACCAAGACTTCTTTAAGCAAATATATTGAAACTATCATATCTCTTACAAAAAAAAAGTTTGACCCTCAGTCTCAGCATCAAAGAGTTTGGGTGAAAAGTTTGAGTCTCAGCCATGTCCAGTAAAAAGGAAGAGTTCTTTCTCCCCAGGTACTGGGGAATTTTAAAATTGGCCCAAAACTTTCATCAAAACTTTCCCTCCTCAAGTGTACAAAGTAGGACTGCTTTCCCCCCTCAAAAAATAAAAAGGGGAGCTTTTCTGAGGCAGGATTATTTTTTCAGCTAACACTGACATGGAATGCACATGACTCTGCTCTCACGGCGTTTGTCACAACTCAGACTCGCCACCGAAACAGCACAGGGTAAGAAGGCTTGATATCTTTGGTATAATCTCTATCAGGGATCTTGCACTGCAGTTTCCTCCCCTTATGCCTCTTTTTTTTGGTCCGTGGAGTCCCTTCTTTTGGGACAGCTGGACTTCAGTGCATACTTCAGCAAGAGTAGTGCTTGATCTCGGGGGGCATGACACATTAGGCCTCTGAGAATCAGAGCTCCAGTGAGGTAAGGCTCTGGGTTCATGGACAGCCGTACTGCTCACTTTGGACCAGTATTTCCACCCTCAGCAACTGTGAGGGGGAATAACAAACGTGTCAGAGTTAGAGCACAGTATCAAGTTCTCTCCTGGTGCAGCTCCCACCCCGACCCAAGTATGTTCATACTTGATTCATACAACTCGAATCATTTGGGATAAAGGATGTATCCCAAATCCTGGGCTTCAGTGAGATAGATTTCAGATCACTGCAGGTTGAGTTTAGAAGGGGGAAAAAAATCCTAGCATTAGGTTACCAGCAAAACCCAAGTCAGGTTACTTCTCAGCTTCAAGGTATTTTGAATTCAAGTGCAGTCCTCTGCCCCAGTTTAGAGGACCCAACATTTGTATGCGGAAATTTTACAATGCTGCTTTACGGTATAATTTTAGGCAGTTTTATGCCCAGACTCATTAGTATTTTTAGGTTGGGGGTTTAGAACTTTTAACCCTGTGGAGTTTTCCAGGTTCATAAACTTATTCTGAGTTTGGAAGCAAAATTGTCGCTCACTTAATCTGATGAGGAAAAGGCAATTTAGACTCCTAAAACCCCCCACATAACTTAGTTTTCAGCCCCCTGATATCAAGAGGTTAGGTGGCATGGGGGCTGGTTGCTCCCTCCCTCCGCCAAACCTACCGGGCCTCAGCCAGTTCCTCTTCTGAGAGCAAAACCCAGAGCCCACTGCCAGAATTCTGGCTCCTGATTCTGATTGGCTCAGGGGCTGGTGGTTCTCATTCATGATTCCTTTGTTCTTGATTTCCACAGGTACAAACTGTCTCCTGCCACCTCTTCCCGCTATTTACTCCTCAGAAATGACCTTCTGGCATCACCGCGGAATCCATATGTCAAAAGGACTCTCCGAACACTAGCAGGGGCAACCTCTCCCAGTCTTTGTGGACCCTCTCATGCTCTTCCTTCCGAGATGAGATTCTCATTTTAACAAGGCACTCTGCTATACATTCAGTCTTGGTCTGGGCTACTCCAGCCATGGCTGGTTTCTCTACCACTCAGATGTGTCAGAGAAATGGTTCATGTTCATGTGGCTTATGGAAAAGTCTATTAGCGGCTTCAACTGTTCAAGCTTTCAGTATAAATGGAATCGTCTACAATAGGCTTCAATAGAAAAGAAAACCTTTCCAATCAATAGTGAAGACAATAACTTGATGTTACTTGAGGAAACTTAAAGTGCTATACTAGTCACAATCCCAAAATGACAAATATATATACACAGACATGTAGATACGGATTTCTTCACATATATCTGTCTGTGCTGAGGGGAGGACTGTGTTCCAGTTGATGCATGCATTTGAAGTTCCTATTACAAGTAAAATTTTAAAAAGTAAAAAAATATCTGTGCTAATATTTGATTGAATTTCAATCTTCTGTAAAAATAGTCTGAGGCCCATCTGATGTAGTACTTCTTGCCGAGAGAATATAATATTTTGTCTCTCCTGATCTAACTTGTGACCACCCCCGAGCCCCCTTCCCTTTCCACCTCACATTCCTCAGCCATCACTCAGAGAACTCCTGCAGCTGCCTGCATCTGGGACGCCAGAGACCCGCCCTTGCAGCCGGCAGCCATCTCTTGCCCGATGTAAATTTGAATAGAAAAAAACTGGATTAAACACAGCTGACTCGAGGAGGTGCTTGGCTTAGCAGTGCTCTAAGATAGGGGGGTAATGGAGTGGAGAGTGTCCATGCGTATCATACTCTATGGAGTGAGTGAACACGAAGAAGATGGGATCCAAGGCAAAACAGGAAGGAACGAAAAGGGGACCTGGAGAACAAACAGAGGGATCAGGGCACAATCTTCATTAAATACGAAATCTCATTAAATACTCAACATTCAGATCGACAAGGGCAAGGCACCAACAAAAGTGACACTGAGAAAGTATTTCAATATACAAACCAGGGGCGTGGGGCTGCGAGGGGGGCGTGCTGGCTGACAGGGTCAGTGGTCTGCGTGTTGCCATTCAGTGTACAAGTAGGCAGGGAGTTATGTGCACATGGTGATGCTACGGGAACCAAGCACCAGCCTGCTCGGCAAGGCGTGGCCATGCCACAGGACACGGGGAGAGAGGGGCCTGCTGGCCTGCAGCAGCATGCCCACTCTGTGGCCACTGTGTAGGACAGAGGAGGCGAGACGCTATGTGTCGGTAGCTTCCTCCCCTGGGAGATCTGTCCTGCTGGCCAGGAGGACAAGGACAGCCCCCCATGGAGAGCCTCACGTGTCCCCAGTCTTAAAAAAAGAAAAAAAAAGAAAGAAGAGCACAATAAAATACATTCTTCTCCTTTCTTCATCCTCTTCAATATAGGTGGATCATAAGAGGCTGTTAAAAATGTTAAAATTATAGAAATTTCCAAAAGGCCACTAATGTGCTATCTAAGGAATACTGCACAATTAGTCTCGGCTGTAAGGAACTCTGTGCTGGGTGATGAGGGGCTCCGGGTCCCTCATAGGTGCAGAGAACTTGTCTCTGCTGGGTCACAGGTTGCTCCCGAGAGGCCTGGCCTCACACACACGGGCACACACGTGTACGCACATTCTTTCCATCTGAGTGACTCTTGGGATTTCAAGGTTGAAGTAAACAGATAGTCACAGTTTTGAATACAACAAGCGTGTGCACACATGCACACGCACACACACATGCGCACGTGAGCACACACATGCGCCCCCGTGGAAGGAACATTTAACTCTGAGCGTGCCTATGTGCCAAGGGGAGAAGGGAGGGCTTCTGGAGCTCTTGCTTCTGGTGAAGTGGCGACATAAACATTATAATATACAGCTAAAAATACATACAAAAATTGCACATATGTCCAAGGGAGAGAAGCCCAGGCCTACACAGCTCCCAGCCACCCACCTCGGCCAAAAAATTCCCTTGTGAGTTGTCCTTGAGAGCCAGCTGGCAGCTTTCGGGCGGTGGTGCCTGCGCGGCTGGGCATGGGGCAGCCACCTCTGCAGGCGCGGTGGGCATCCTGCGGGCAGGGCAGCAGTCCTGCAAGAGGCCCTCTGCCTCCCCTGCTGCTAGAGATCTTGAGCTCAGCTGACCGCCTCGCACCCAGGGCTGTGGTGGCAGTATTGAATGAGTGAACAACCGCTACTGAGAAGCCAGCTGAGCACTGCCGTGGCAGGGCAGCGGACTGGCGGGGGGAAAGTGGCATGCAGGCGCCATGGGTGTAGACGGTTCTGACAGTGACCAAAGAATGGTGCTCTCAACTCCTGTTCCACTGCTGGCCCCGAGAGAACTGCACACATGGAAAGAAATCACCTCCTGGGTCCCGCCAGTTACTTAGAAGATCTGAACTGCATTCCACTCCACTGAAGCACTGACGATACCACCTGGGCCAGCTCTGGAATGGGTTACACCAACAGCTGAGAAACTCGAACTTCCCTGGCAAGTGGGGACAGAGCAGAGATGCAGGAGAATCAGGCAGTGGTGGCAGAGGGCGACTCACAGGGTCTTCCTCCACGCCGTGTGCACACACATACACATACTAAGAACAGAAAGGAGTGTGAGAGTGTGAAAAACGGTCTGTGAGCCAAGAGCTGGGATCTTGCCGTGTCCTTCCGCTGTTTGCTGGAACAAAGGACATAGAGCCTGAAACCGAACTGGGCTGATGTGAAGGACGGCAGTTTTGCCTGGTAAGAAAGTCAGTTACTGGTACTCGGAGGGAAGGAAGTTTGTGATGAGAGCTCAAGGGAGGACAGTAGTAGAGACTTATTAACTCTGTATATTGCTTATGAGAATAAATAGTTGGGATTAAAAAAAAGACAGGCAATATTCAGAATTATGGAAGAACTGGATACCGCTCACCGAGTTCACACCAAAGAAGCTGTCCCTTCAGGGATGTGTGCTTTCATTTTTACCTGCACTTGTGGGACAATGAGGGTGGAAGGTATGCCAAAGCATGGCAAAGGCTTGTTTCTTCCGCTGACTTTCTGTAAAGCTCAGACAGACCCCGCTTCTTTCTTGATTTGGAGCTGTGGGTGACTGGACGAGCTCCCAGGGAAACTCATTTGTTCATGGGCAGAGATAGAAGGCTTGTCTCCTTTCCTTGAATTCTGGGTGAGCGTTGGGAAGGGGAAGTGCAGGAGTAACTTAGGATGAAAAAGGAAGTGGAAGCAGCAGCAGCTAAGTTAGCGGTGTTGCAGGATTTTCACAATACAGCTGAGGGAGTCCGGAGTGGCAAAAGCCAAATACTGAGCACAAAGCCAGTCCTCAAGGCTGACACCCCCCTCCCTGTCCAGGGACTTCTCAGCAAACTTGATCATCAGCAGGGTTCGCTTGATGTCGAGCCAATTTTGGAGCATGGTGTTCCTCTGTGCTGGGCTGGTGGAGGCGGTGAAAGTCTGGAAGAGATCTTCCCGGGGGCCCCACAGCAGACACTGGAGGATGCTTCTGGCATCAGAAATGAGGATCCGCTCGGAAGGGTTGGGATTGAGGAGGCAGCTGGCCAGCTGCTGCAGGCCCCGGGAGTAGGGGGAGCGCAGAGGGATGCGAGGAAGGTCTGCCCGGGTGTATTCCTTCTCCTTCAGATCTGGATTCTCATCAAAGGGGTTGGGCAGATGCAGCATCTCATAGATGAGGATTCCGGTCTGGAACTCATCACATTTCTTATACTGGGTGGCTGTTATGATCTCTGGGGCCAGGCGGGAATGGTCCCGGAGGATCTCTGGGTCGACCAGATGGCTCTTCTGCTTGGCCTGAGAAAAGTTGCTGACTATGAGTCTTGTGGGACCAGAGGAACTGGGGCTGGGCTCAGCGAGACCGAGGCCCTGGGCAGTTCCCCCAGGCCGGTAGTGGACCAGCAGCAGGTTCTCGAGGCGAAGGTCACAGTGAGTGACATGGTAGGGTTTAAGGTGCTCGAGACCAGAGCACAGTTGTAAGAGCAGCAGACAAACTTGTCTCTCATACAAATCAGGGCTTTTACCATGCTGGGCCAGAGAGTCCCGCACAAAATCAGCAACAGTGAGACAGGGAACCTCTCGGGTGATGACCACGACATGGCTCCTCTGCTTTCGGCTTTCCTTCTGGGGTATTTCCGTTTCGGAGCATGGCTCAGGGCTTTTCTCATCCATTTCTCCTTTCACCTCATCTCCAGTTTCTTCCATTTCATCTTCTTCCTCTTCAGGAGCATCAGGATTGTTCCAGGGAAGCAGACGGTTAGGGACTTCGGCAAGAAAATGGCCACAGTCCTGCTGGATGTTAAAGTGGACAGCGAGGCTCTGCCGGACAGCCAAGCTGTGATAATACTGCTGAGATTCTTTAGCTTTGCTCTTACAGATCTGAAAGACGAAAGCAAAAAGCACAATTTAAAAGGCACACTTTCAAAACCAGGCTTATGATGTATAAGGAAGGATTAACGGGAACGTAAGTGGCTTGGAAACTGTCAAAGTGAAATCACAGAAATGAATTTTCCTCCTATGCTGAGTGTCAGTGATAGTGGCAGTAACCATTTCTCATGGTTATCTACCTGCCTGGGTTGGAGCAATAGCAAAGCGGGTAGGGTGTTTGCCTTCCACGCGGCCGGCCCAGGTTCGATTCCTCCATCCCTCTTAGAGCACCCAGCAAGCTACCGAGAGTATCCTGCCCGCACGGCAGAGCCTGGCAAGCTCCTCGTGGTATATTTGATATGCCAAAAACAGTAACAACAAGTCTCACACTGGAGACATTACTGGTGCCTGCTCGAGCAAATCGATGAACAACAGGAAGACAGTGCTATCGTGCTATCTACTGCTCAGCACACTGTGTGCATTATCTTCAGTCCTTACATTATCTTACAGTCCTTCAGACTGGGTTGAGAATCATATGATCCAGCAATAGCACCTCTTGGCATATCCCCCAAACACAAAAACATTGATTTGAAAGGGTATACACACATCTGTGCTCATTGTCACACTTAGTACAATAGCCAAGATATGGACAACTCAAATGCCCAACTATAGATGAATGGATCAAGAAGTTATATATATGTATATGTGTGTGTGTGTGTGTGTGTGTGTGTGTGTGTAATGGAATACTATGCTATGCAGCTCTAAGAAATAACAAAATCATTCAATTAGCAGCAACGTGAATGGAACTAGAGGATAACACGCTGAGTGAAGTTAGTCTGAAGGAAAGGGACAGATACAGAATGATCTCACTCATATGGGTGGCCTAAGAGAGACACAGTAAAATAGTAACAAAGATCTAAAGGCAACAAAATGGGAGAATACATCTGAGTTGTGGGGAGAGGATTGGGAGGGAGGGGTTTCGGGTTCTTGGGAGAGGGAGGGATACACTGGTGATGGGTGTGTTGTAGGAATTATGTGCACGAGAAACCATTATTAATAGCATCGGAAACTACAGAATCTCAATAAAAAATAAAAATGAATTGGGCTGAGAATCTAAACATTAAAACAAGAACACATCGAGGGCTACCAGTTTGCAAACTTAGGTATAACAACAAAGTTTATCCATTCCACAAGATTCTGCACTTCTAGAAAACAGAAAAACAGCAATAATTTTCTACCTGTTTCTGTGAAGCTTAGACTTATACTGCACAGCACAAAAGATGATTAGTAAAATAGACCAGAATATCGTACTTTACCACTGGTCAGCAGAATGATGTACAGTGTCCTATGGGTCTCTCCGTGTCTCTCTGTGTCTCTGTTTCTCATTTGTTTTTGGGCCACACCTTGCTGTGCTCAGGCCTTGCTTCTGGCTGGGCTTAGGTGACCATACGTGGTGCTGGGGATCGAACCTCAGTTGGTGGTGTGTAAGGCAAGTGCCTTCCTACCTGTACTGTCTCTCCAGTTCCAACTTTGGATTTTCTTTCTTTTTTTTTTTTTAACTTTGGATTTTCTTAACTCTTCAATGAACATCACGTGACCGTCACAGCTTAGGTCCTCACAGCTCACTAGCAGGGCAGAGATGGATGTTTGAGAGAATCACTGGTCTGATAGAGCTAGGCAGATTCTTTCAATGGCCAGGATCTGAGTTCTGTACTTTCTTATAATAGGCTTCATTTAAGCAATACACTCAAAAAACAACAAGGGCTTTAAGAATAATTAGCAGATGGGGCTGGGGATGTTGTTTTGTGGTGGAGTATAGAGTCTGAGTGAATGAGGCTTTGGGTTTGATGCCTGACTCTAAAAAAAATTATTTTTAAGTTAAGTGGTTATCAATCAAGGATGCTTTTCTTTTTTTTGGGTGGTAAATGGCTATTCCTGGCCTCATGCTCAGGGGTTAACCCCAGTGGTACTTGGGGCACCATGTGGTGTCAGGAATCAAACCTGGGATCTGGCATGCACACTCACCCTTTGAGTCATCTCCCGGACCCAAGAAAGCCCTTTTTTAAAAAAATCAAAAACATTCGCTAGGACTGAGGAAGATTGTATAGTGGTTAGGATGCATGCCCCGTTTGACCCAGGTTTAATCCCAGCATCACATGGCTGCTGGGTATTCCCAGGTATGTATAGCACTGGGGGTCTTCCAGGAGCACTGCTCAGGTGCTTTGGCATTGCAGGGGCCAAACACTGACCCACAGGCTTGGCTGATCATATATTCATAAGAGTGGGCCCTTGGTCCTCTGGCTACATGGTAGTATCCCCCATTCCTCTAGATCAGCCAACAATTCTGCATATTCTTTAAAACATTCTTGCATTTCTAGCCTTAAAGGGTTATAAAAGCAAAAATTTACATAAAATCACCCCTCAGTGGATTTCAGTGGATTATCCTCATGCTAGGACATGGAGAAGAGACTGTGGAAGGCTCTGTCTCTACCATGAGCTCCAAGATTCAAACTGCGTGGTCTGGACATGCAAGGGCTCTCATCAGCTGGAACACATTTGCTGCCCGTCCCCCTACACAGGCGAGTGCTGCCAAATTCCACCAGTGTCAAAGCCTCCCAGTCAAAGATGCTCTCAGCAGTGTTTATGCTGCCTGCTTATTGCAGTAAAATGACAAGAAGCCAATTTTCAAAGGCATTTTCTATCACTTTTGTTTAAAAAGAAAAATGTACATCTTCCCAGGAAAGTGCTGATATATGCCCAGTTCTGAGAAGCAGCATGATCTAATTTCCATCCAAATAGATATTTTTAAAAATGGCACCAAAGACAAGAGGTCTCAGGAAAGAGAAGCTACCTCTTTCATTTACTGGATTTATATATGTTTATTACAGTTAGGGAGACTCCAAGGGCTGGAGCGATAGCACAGCGGGTAGGGTGTTTGCCTTGCATGAGGCTGACCTGGCCGACTGGAGTTCGATTTCTCTGTCCCTCTTGGAGAGCCCGGCAAGCTACCGAGAGTATCTCGCCCACACAGCAAAGCCTGGCAAGCTACTCATGACATATTCGATATGCCAAGCACAGTAACAACAAGTCTCACAATGGAGACATTACTGGGCCCGCTCGAGCAAATCGATGAACAACAGGAGGACAGTGCTACAGGGAGACTCCAAACAAGTGGTCAATGTGATAGAAATTGATCTATCTCCTTCCCTACCTATCTGGAGAGATCTGAAAATAAGTTTTTTTTTGTCACCTGCCTAATCAATCTGAGGAATCATTAAGTATTTCCTTAAGCAAAATGCTGGCCTTGAAATAGAAATAACTCTAGACTGAGGTCAAGTTCAAACACATCTTTCGGAAAATATTATCTTTGGAAAGCTCGCAAAGTCTCAGCAAACGCAGAATATATAATCCTATATGCTTATCAGTCATGGCATAAATTCTTTCCACACTGCATTGTTGCCAGTATTTAATATTTATGTGTTACAGTATTTAAACTCTCTATAATAGTCATCAATTAGTTATATAGGAGCCGAATTCAGAATATAGCTCCATTAGCCCCATTTCTAGTTTTAATTCTTTGCTCAATATCACATTGCCTGCTGGATGAAAAGCTGAAAGGTCCCAACTACTCAGTCTTTGGAAAGTCATTCAGATCCCTGGGTGTGGTTGAGCGCAACTGTGTGTATAAGACTGTGTGTGTAAGACTGTGTGTGCGAGCTTACTTTGGCACTGTCTTGATACAGAATGGGGCTGTGTAAATTTCTTCCACTTGTGACTCTGTTTCACCTGATATATTTTTATGAAAGCCTGGATGTATAAAACAGTATACAATCCAGGGGATGGACAACAGTATAGCGGGTAGGGCATTTGCCTTGCAGCAGACAACCCAGGTTCAATCCCCAGCATCCCATATGGTAACCTCAGCACTGCCAGGAGTGATTCCTGAGCATAGAGCCAGGAGTAACCCCTGAACATTAACAAGTATGACCCAAAACACAAAATAAAAAAAATAGTATAGAACCCAAACATTTAGTAGTAATAAATCATAAGGGCATTTACTTTAAAACAAATTTTTTGAAAAAAAAAAAAACTTAATCCTAGGTCCCTAGTTTAAGAGTCTCCATTATAGAAAACAGCTTCCAATGACTCAGAAGACCTTAAATTTAGTTCTGCCACTAGCTGTATAAAGGTTTCTCACCTCATTTCTCTGGGGTCTCAGTTTCCCTAATAAAGAAGATATTAAAAAGAATATTGAATGAGGTTAGAGAGATGATAGTATGGGGATTAAAGTACTTGCTTTGCATGAGGCCAGCCCTGATTTGATTCCTAGCACCTCATATGGCACCCCAAACTGCACCAGGTGTGGCCTCCCCCTCAACAAAATAGAATCCTGATGCCTCTCTTATACAGTTGTGAGAACTTAATGATAATCCGAAAAACAGAACTCTTATAATGACTAAAACAATGAACAGGTGCATATGCTGCCTGAGCCCTGTGCTGCTTGTACCCAAGTGGCGGAGCACATGTGGTGCCCGAGCACATGTGTCGCCTGCATCTCCCCTCTTGAGAAGTGTACTTTCATGCTTTTGTGTCGAAAGCTAGAATGTGTGTAGGGGCTCTCTCCATTCTTGGAGGAGCCCACGTTCTCTCCTGAGCGCGTTACACTCTTTCATTGTCTCCACTGACTCCCACTACCTCGCTCTTCTCCCCTCCAATACCTCCAAATAAAATCTGTTCTACTTAAAAAAAAAACAAAAATAATGAACAAAATGCAAATATTAAAACTTTAAAAATATTTTAAACTCTTTTTTTCAAACAAAGAAGACAGAAAAATATTTCTTTCTTTGGAGGGTGGGCTTAAGAGGTGCTGAGGACACCAGAGGGCCCTCATGGCGATTTTCCACGAACTAGGTTGGCAGTTCAAAGTCAGGGCTGAGGACACAGTGCTGGGGATGAGAGCCCAGGCCACCCCGTAATCTGATGGTCTCCAGCCCACAGTTGGCCATGCTCAG